TGTGTGCATAGGTGGATTGCTGAGGTATCATTCAAAGAGGAAAAATAAACCGCCCAGAGCGGATGTTTTGTATGAAAGGAAAGCTAGAATAGAAAGTAATGCTGCAGTAGTGCTGCATGGGGAAGTGTTGCCGGAGGTGAGCACAAGGCAGCTGGTCCTGGGATTAAGAAAGGAGGGAGAAGCAGGAGGCCCAGCAAGGCATGCAATGCTTTTCCCCTGCCCAAAGATGAGAGCTCTTCACAGAAAGAGAAGCCCCATCCCAGGACTGCAAGCATGATAAAGTTATGTGACTCAAATCCTGCTTCCTGGTCATACAGTTCATTTTCTCAAGCAACCATTTCTGTGCTTGCCCATCCCTCTCCACCTGCCCTGTTGTCCAGTGTGCTACACACACAGAGCCTGGCTTATTCCTTGGGTGAGCTCAGCTCATCCTCAACCCCCTGCAAGCGTAAAGGCTAAAGCTGCACTCCTGAGGGAAGGAAGCGCTCCCATGGCCTCTGCTGATCTGTGGCTCAAGGCAGCAGCCAGGCTGCAAGGATGGGAAAAGGCGCTTTTGTAAACTCCCACCTGCAGGGAGGGAAGGAGCACTTTGTAGGGGGAGAGGGCTGGATGTGGCATCCCTCCTCCGAGATGAGGGTGAGAGAGGAGGCCAGGAGACCGCTTCACCATCATAGGGCCGCTTGCTGTGCTCTCCTTCAATTAACTCTTATCTTTTTTCCCACAGCATGAGATAGGCTTATTTCACAAGCTTGATAGCTCCTAGAAACCAATCTTATCCAAAAATTCTGAGGCCAGATCTCTTACATTATCACTCACAGCACATGAACAAGCCCCTCAGTCCCTCGGGGCCCACGGTGACCATCGACCAGTTGGGGATCAGAAGGTGACAGCCATGCCAGCCTGCTCACTGCACAGCTGGCACCTGCAAGGAGCATTGGTGGAGCACCTCATCCACCCAGCTGAGCTCTGCTCCTGCCTATCATCCATAGCACACCCCACAGACGACTACAATTTGAAAGACAAACCCAGCACTTCTTAAGCTTTTTGCAAGGTTTTGGCGTGGCTGAGGAGGTGATGCCCTGTCTGTCAGAATGGAGAATGGAGCTGATGGGCAACTTAGTCCCAGCTGGGGCTTATGTCTGCATCACAGCTTGAAGATTTGTTGCAGAATAAGGATGAAATCCATGCCCTTTCCTCATAGCATCATTTTGGCAAACATTCCAAGAAAGACATTTGAACGAGTCAAATTTTATTTTGGAAATGAAATTATCTAACTGACTCCAGCACTGCCTGTGCCAGAAGCAAGAGACCCTCCCTCTGGACTGGCTAATGCCTGACTGAGACACAAGCAGGTCTCGTCTACTTTACTAGAAAGGCCAAGTTTGGCCACCAAGGGCTGCTGATGTCAAGCGGATTAAGACTGGGATAGAAGATTTGTATCTTCTCTACAACCAACCATTGCTTTTTTGGGTACCTACTCAGACTGCACAACCAGCGAGCGCTGCAGGACCACAGCACAACTACAGACCTGCTTGGATCACGGGTCTGCACTTTCCTCCCATTCCTTCAGCGCTGGCTCCGCAGCACATCATTGCCAAGCAAAACTGATCCCTGCTAACACCCAGGCAGCAAAAACTGCATCTCTCCGATCTGGGAGGACAAGCCAACATCCTTACAGAGCACGGCTCAGCATGTCAGCCCTCTCATCTCAAACCCCTTAAGTAGAACGGGGAAAACCACTTCAACTTGTGTTACTCACTGGTACATGACATTGTCTACGAAAAAAGAACCAAGAAAGATTGCAGCAAGTATCACCAGAGCTGAGCACTTCCTGTTATTTCTTAGGTCTCACTGTCAGTTCATTTTCCAGAACTGAAACATCCTCTACAGCATAAAAACCCGAGATTTGAATGCTCCAGTACACACATGCAGAAAAATTGCTAACTTTTCAAGTAGGCACCAGGTAGAACTCGGGACTGCACAGGTATCATCCATTGCAGTGCATGAGGAACAAACATGAGACATCGCAAAACCAATGGTGACTATCAAAAAAATAAGTGTCAATCAAAAATAAGCATTGCCCTGATGAGACTCCTATTGCGCAAGGGTACTCTGTGCTCATAGTATTTTCTTGTCTGCCTGACAGAGGACTGTGTTTTGGTGTGAATCCACCCAGCAGGGCTAAATTCAACTCTTTTTATTCAGCTTTGAGCTTCTTAGCACATAAGAGAGAAACATTTAGCTGAAAAGGGTCTATTAACCCAGAGAAGACCTTGGTGAGTTGCACAGAGGCTGAGAGTGCTTCTCTCAGCCCGTGGTTACAGCAGTATTAAAGCACGCACCGCTGCACTTCACTCATGCCCACTGTTGTGGCCTCTGTCCTGCCCTGTACTCGGGGTGCCCGCTGGCAGCCCCGTTCCCCAGGAAGGAGATCTAAGGGCAGCTTTGGGGTGTGCTCAGCCCTCACACGCCTTAAGCTTGAGACAACAGAGGTTTCCACAGTTCACAGGGTGGTGTCAAGTCCAGTCTTGAGGGCGGGCTTGAACTCAGTTTGTGATCAACAGTAGAAAAGCTTCTTCCCTCCCGTTCCTACCCTGGGCATGACTTAGCTGCAGTTCCTTGCCAGAAGAGCAAGCACACCTCTGTGCTGGGCCGGAGTCACCACGGCACCACCTCATGCACCGGTGCCCCCTTCAAGGTCCTGTGGTGGGTGTTGCCGCACCAGCACCAGCACCAACCCCAGGCAAAGGAGGGCCCGGGGCAGCAGCTGGTGAGAAGTCCAGAAGGGTCTCTCAGAGGTATGACAGGAGCTCACCAAGCCTCTGCGGTGGGGAAGGAGCATCTCCAAAGCCTTCCTGCAGCTCTGTTAATCTCGGGGCACAGAGAGCACTATTCAGTGGCAGGGGGTCCCAGGAGAATCCCACCCTCCTCCTCAGGTCCCAGCAACTCTCCCTCTCTCCCAGGAAGGACCAGTGCTCCCGTAACCACAGAGGAGTCCCAGCTCAGCTGCTTGCTCTGGAGAGGGCACCGACAAAGCTCCAGCCACGTGGGACAGGCAGGCACGGTGGCTGTGCTCACCCACACCGACCCAAGCACTCAGGTGGCAGCCAGTACCTCCCGGGGATCGGGGTGACACCTCCTGAATCCGTGTTTCCGTGGCTCAGGTACCAAAATGTTTTTCTTCTCTCCTTTGTACCAAGGCGAGATCCAGATACTGAAGTACCAGCACAGGTGTGAACTAAGATTCTCTGCACCCACTCTCATCTTTATTCATTCACTACAGGGATAATAGCATATGTTACAAAATTAACCATGAAATGTTTACCAAATGCAACTTTAAATAGTGAAAGCCCTAAAACAAGCTGCAGAAAGCTAAGGCGAGAGCAAGTGACACTCCCAGGGCTGTGCCCACTGTCGGAGTTCAAGCAAAGTGACTGAGCTCTGGAGGAGGCAGAGACCTCCTTCTCCCTGACAAGTTACCTCCCTACCCTTGTACCTTAAGATAAAAATAGTCACATTTCTGAGCAGAAACAAAGGATGGTCATTTTAACTCCCCTGGCATACGTAGGATAGACAAGCCTGAAAGAGGTACTACACATTCTTCTGCCTAACACAACAACATGCTAGCTGGATGTCTCGTGCTCTGTGGCTCTTGCAGTTCTCCTCCTCCACCTGCACTGCCTCTTACACCAGATGGGCCAGTGTACCCATTCAGACATCACTCTGAGAAGGTCTGTCCTCTCTCAGCTCCTCAGCTGTCCCATAGAGGCACTTATGAACATCTCCAAGGACCAGAGGAGTGAGCAGTGTTTTTCCAGCACATGGAGGGTGATGCATGCGCAGTTATTGCAGTCCAGCCTCTCCCTTTGGGAGGGAGATCTCTCAGTAGTTCTCTATCATCACCTGGTTATACATGACGTGCTTACCAGCAGAATCAAGGGACACAAGATGGCCCTACGATGAAAAACCATGACAATTCAGACAATACCACAAGTAATCAGACTGCTTGGCAGTTCGTAACACTTGTTTCATGAGCCAATGGATACCAGATCTCTTCCATGACAAAAAAAAAATTGTCTAAATAGTCAAACAGACCTATGCTGAGAATAAAGTTCCATTTTATTTGCCAGCAAGGAGTCACAGAAAACTGAGCTGAAACAGTCCTTGGAAAGGCCATGTAGCACGTTCCCCTGGCCCTTGCAGGATGAAGATGCCTCTCAGATGGTTGCCTCATCCACCCTTTGAAACTCCCAGTGATGGAGATCCTCTCCCAGAAATCTATTTCAGTACTTTTGCAAAAAAAAAAAAAAAATTAAAAAAATATCCTGCCCTAAATCTGAATTCCTGCAATTTAAGCCCATGGTTTCTTGTTCTAAACACAGTAGAGATAGTGAGAAGTTTACTCCTTTCCCACTTGCGTTTTTCCCACATGCATGCTTCAAGACTCTCACATCTCCTTTCAGTATTTTCTTCTCTGCATTAGATGACATCAATTCTTTCAACTTCAGATAAGCATTTAATTACATACAACTATTTTTTTGATCCAGGAGGTCATGCATTTGATGCTGAAGCAGAGGGCTGCCCTGACGTGTGGCAGAAGAAAGGAAAGATACATCGCAAAACCCTGTAAGATCCTTAGGGCCATGTTTTCTCACTAGAGGTTTAGCTTCTTCTTGACATAATCCATCCAAAAAGCACAAAGACAAAAAGGTGCGGTAAAAACAAGTGAACCACAGAAAGACACAGGTTTCAAGGCTGAACGCTCCATATCCTAACACAGAGACACTTGAAGAAAAATGGCCACAGGGTTGAATGCCCATCACCTTGAATCTCCTCCACTGCGTCTCTTCATCTCCATTTGATGCTCTAATTTTCTGCAACGAAAGCTGCCATTTCATAGCTGAGCATTACACAAGGCTGGGCAGGAGGGGTTCTTGACTATTGGAAACTTTCTTTTCCCGGTGAATGGTGCAGCAGAGAGACCACCATTCCTCCCAGGTTCAAGGTCTTTCTCTTGAATGGTGTGGTGTCCGCTGCTGAGTGCGGGGTCTGGGCCGTGGGGGCTGTGCTTGCTGCAGCACGTGGGGCTGCGGCAGTGGCCGTTGCTGCACACGCAGCTGCTTCGGGGTAGGGTTGCACTGCGGCTGAGGGAGCTCCCGCACCACCATTTCACTGTCCGTCTGGCAAGCATGCATCTTTCGATCCTCCTCTGCAACAAGAGAAGGAGCCAGAAATCAGGCACATACTCCAAATCTAAGCAGAAGTCGAACAGCCAGGGAAAAGTGCTTGGCCCAAACAAGAAAAAGTCAAATATTGGTTTTACCTGGAAGGCCACTGTCACTCACAGGTGTTCCTGCTAGTCCAGTGGAGCAACCAAAATCACCTCTCCCTGTGCACCCTGGGCAAACCTGAAAGCCTTTTGGCTGCCTGGCTGAGGTCAAGGTACCTGGGGGGGGGG